CCCCGAAGGGGAGTAGACACGAGGTGGTGTGCCAGTAAGGACGCGGGGCTCTAAAGGGGGATGAATTTGGCTGGGGTCCTACATCGACATGAGAAAGGAACGAGTGCCAGCGAGGATGCTGGGCCCTGAAGGGGGGTGGATTGCAATATCCCACATCGGTTGGGGAGGAGAACGAAACACAAGGGTGTGGAAACCTCTCCCTAGAAGACGCATTTTAAAAATCTTGAGGGGAAGCCTGAAAGGGAAGGCCCAAAGAGAACAATATCTGCTAACGATGGGCTTGGACTGTTACAGGATGATACCCACAACGTTACTTAAAACCACCGACTGATAGCACAATGCCTTTTCTTTATTTGTTACTAACCCAGATTTGTTTCTATTAGCCACCAATCACCATCAGTTTTGGTACCAGCTCTACGAACGGTCGGAAACATTGTTACCGGTGATGATGCTCAAACGCAGGTACTGTTTATATTTCTTGTTCCATCAGTTTAATCTGCATTTTTTCCCTTGATCTTCTCTTGTTCTTGTCAATTTCAATGAGTTTCCTACATGTTTATGTTCCCCATTTCCAGTTTGTGATTGACAACCAAGTTCTTCCTAATCTCTATCAACTTCTCACTCAAAATCACAAGAAAAGCATCAAGAAAGAAGCTTGTTGGACAATCTCAAATATCACTGCTGGAAATAGAGCTCAGATCCAGGTACCAAGTTACCTTTTGTTATAGATAGCAAGCAGGTCTTTGTTTGTTCATCATGATTATAATGTTGAATTGGTATGTACAGGCAGTTATTGAAGCAAATATTGTCCTTCCTCTTGTTCATCTCCTTCAACATGCAGAATTTGATATCAAGAAGGAGGCTGGGTGGGCTATTTCCAATGCCACCTCCGGAGGAACTCATCAGCAGATTCAGTAAGAAATAGTTTGATTATCTCTCTTGGCGCTATATGATTTGCACTGCTTTATATACTATGTGCTTTCTCTGAAAAATATTGCTTTCATTTTAGAGTATGATCGTACTTAAAAAAGACCCTAAACAAAAACTTAAACGGTGAGAATCCACGTCGGTTGGAGAGGAGAACGAAACATTCTTTATAAGGGTGTGGAAACCTCTCCCTAGCAAACGTGTTTTAGAAACCTTGAGGGGAAGATGGAAAGGAAAAGTCCGAAGAGGATAATGTCTGCTAGCGGTGGGCTTGGGCCGTTACAAATAGTAGCAAAGCTAGACACCGGACAATGTGTCAGCGAGGAGGCTGAGCCCTGAAGAGGGGTGGACATGAGGCGGTGTGCCAGTAAGGACGCTGGGCCTTGAAGGGGGGTGGGTTGGGGGGTCCCATATCGATTGGAGAAGGGAACGAGTGCCAGCGAGGACGCTGGGCCCTAAAGGGGGTGGATTATGAGATCCCACATCGGTTGGGGAGGAGAACGAAGCATTCTTCGTAAGGGTGTGAAAACATTTCCCTAGCAGATACGTTTTAAAAACCTTGAGGAGAAGCTCGAAAGGGAAAGCCTAAAGAGACAATATTTACTATTGGTGGGCTTGAGCTGTTACAAAAACTATTAGAAATCAAATACGTCAATGGCAAATCCTCATAGGGTATGATACAAATCCTAAAAAAACATGTCCCTAGAGGGTGCAACAGCGGCCCACGATCTTGCTTCGACCACTTTTTTTGTTCAGTTGACTCCTTCCTTGCTGGAAAACCACTTTTTTTGTTCAGTTGACTCCTTCCTTGCTGGAAGAAGAGAGCGTTTTGTTGGGTCTGGTTTTACCTGCTTCGTGTTTTCTCGGTATTGTCGGGGGACACGAATTGGTCATTAACTCGTTATTTTATCTGGGTTTTTGCTGGACAAAGTTATGGATTTTGCACAATCATTATTTGATGCAGATTTCTCGTGACTCAAGGCTGCATCAAACCGCTCTGTGACCTTCTAACCTGTCCGGATCCAAGGATCGTGACAGTGTGCCTAGAGGGGCTTGATAACATACTCAAGGTTGGTGAGGCTGACAAGGACATGGGAATGAATGGAGGGATCAACATCTATGCACAAGCCATTGATGAATGTTACGGACTCGATAAGATCGAAAGCTTACAGAGCCACGACAACAACGAAATCTACGAGAAGGCAGTGAAGATGTTGGAGAGATACTGGGCCGAAGAAGACGAGGAGCCCGAGCAGGAGCAGAACCTGCAGCAGCCAAATGGAGATGTGAATCAACATGGGTTTGCATTTGGTTCAAACCAGCCAAATGTTCCTCCTGGTGGGTTCAAGTTTGGGTGAAACTGGTTTAGGTCCTTTGTTCTTGTTTCTTCCTTGATTGGTGTAGTCGAGGTTCGAGTTCTACGCCGCGTAGCTCGTCTGGTTCACAAGGGTCAGGGTTTTTGATCTGGTCCATGGCTGTTACATCTCTGGGAGTTTTGGCCTTTTTTTCTGCTCAGCCAAGCGTTATCTATGTCAAGCCTTTTCCTTTCTTTTTGATACTATATTTTGCTTTCTTCATGATCCTAAACTTTACTTTGTATTTACACAGAACATATATATACATATTGGTCTGTTCTTCCTTTTGGGTTGCTGTAGTTTCGACTAATAAATTTTACTTTCAAAGAAGGGAGGTCTGGAAATCTCTCTTTAATAGATGTGTTTTAAAACCGTGAGGTTGACGACGATACGTAACGAGTCAAAGTGGATAAAATCTGTTAGTGGTGGGCTTGGGCGGCTACAAATGATATCAGAGTTAGACATTGGGTAATGTGCCTGTGCCAGCGAGGATGCTGCCCCCCAAGGGGAGGGGGGTGGATTGTGAGATATCTGTTGGAGAGAGAACGAAACATTTTTTATAGAGGCCGTAAAAGCTTCTCCCTAATAGATGCATTTTAAAACTGTGAGGCTGATAACGATACAGGTTAAAGCGGACAATATCTATGAGTCGGTGAATATGAGAGCTTACAGTCATAAGTTGAGTCCTAATCGCTTCATGTCATAGAGCAAGTTAACAAACCCAAGAACTCTACATTTGTAGATATCATTCGCATACTAAAGTTAATAAGCTTATTAACTCATAGTACTCATTACACCGAAACGTTCGAGTAGCTTGCTTGCTAAAGTAGTTGAAGAGGCACCGTCATCATCTCACCGTCATCCTTAACGAGCCCTCTAATTCGACTAGACACGAGTATCGCTAGGGATCCTTTCGTTTCGTCACCCACAAGTTTCTATAATTTCAATCACTACTATAAGTAGGCAGCTTTTTGTAAGATCTATATACTTCAATTCCATTCATGGTGATGGAGTAGTTAGGAGGTAGCAGTTGGTTGGTTTTAGGTATGTTCATTTCATTAAATTTTCCTCACATCTAGTGGTCTCAAATTTACTTTTGCACTTCATTTTTGTAACAAACAATCATAAATAATTTTGTTCTTGGTTATGAATTCAACCCATTTTGTTACCGTATTCAAATTCAATTGTTTATTTGTCGAGTTGTTTCAGTTTAGATCCTGAATTTAAATACGTGTTGCAGTTGTACTATTGATTCATTTTCTGTTGATTTTCGAAAAACTCATTAATTTTCAATAAAATAAGTTTTTACCCAATTTTTTTTTTTTTTTTTGCCCAAACACGATTTAGATTAGGTCATGAGCTTATTAATGATTGTTGATTCATAAAATTAGATTGGGTTGAACCTGTAACGGCCCAAGTCCACCACTAGTAGATATTGTTTTCCCTTTCGGGCTTCCCCTCCAACGTGAGATTTTCATAATTCCTCCCCTTCGAGGCCCAGTGTTCTTACTGACAACATCGCCTCGTGTCTACCCTCCTTCGGGAATAGCCTCCTCACTGGCACATAGTTCGGAACTTGGCTCTGATACCATTTGTAACGGCCCAGCCCCACCACTAGCAAATGTTTTGTTTTCCTCCCCAACTTATATAGGATTCTCACTTAACCAAATGAACTCGAATTTATCTGAAATATACATTTTTGTTTATCGTATAAATTACATATATTTATTTTATTTAATAATTATTTTTCAACTACTCTTCAAGAGACCGATAAATTTTTAAAAATATATATTTAAAATAAATAAATAATATTTTACCAAAAGGTCCAAACTTTTATTTATTTATTTATTTTTGTAAGTTTTTTATTGTTATATTTTTAAGATAGAAACTATGAGGTGACATCATTTATTTTATATGTCCTTTTACTTAATTGGGATTGAATGTGAAATATAATGTCATTAATTAAATTAATTTATTTTTTTCTTTTCATTTATTAGCAGCGTTACAAATAATGCAGCTAGTTGGTAGATATTATTAGGAGAGTGACGAGGTGTGAGTATAAGATATTCATTCGCTTATAGAAACTAAATAAACATACTAAGCCTACACCACTGACATATATTGTCGTATTTGGGCTTTTCCTTTTGAGATTTCCCTCAATGTTTTTAAAACACGTATGCTAAGGATAGGTTTTCACACCTTTATAAATAATGTTTCGTTCTCTTCTCCGATTGACGTGAGATCTCACAATCCACCTCCTTCGAGGCCCAGCGTCCTCACTGACACTCGTTCCCCTCTTCAATTGATGTGGGTTCTCACAATTTATCCCTTCGAGGCCCAACATTTTCGCTAACACTCATTCCTCTCTCTAATCGATATGGGTTCTCAAAATCCTCCACTTTCGAGACTCAACGTCCTCGCTGCCACTTGTTTCCCTCTCCAATCGATGTGGGTTCTCACAATCTATTCTTTCGAAGCCAGCGTCCTTGCTGGCACTCGTTCCCCTCACGTTATTTTCCAATCTCCTAACTATAAGCATACACGAAAGGAACATTTTAACAAAAAAAACTTCAAACAACTTAGTCTAAATAATTTATGAGCCTCACCTCTCCCATTAAAGTTTTTCACCATACAACCACTTATTATGGTTGGGAATCCAAATGGCTTCCAACAACATCTATATAAAACCAAACATCCCCACATTTCTTTCCCAACCAACCAAAGAACAGCTAACTCATTAAGGATGTCTCTTGTCACAGAAGCTATCAAAGCCAAAGCTGATGAGGTCTACCATGGTGATGAGATCTGCCAAGCAAAAACGAGGGAGTTGCTCAAAGAAATGGATCTTCCCAATGGACTGTTGCCAATGAAAGACATGGAGGAATGTGGTATCATCAAGGAGACAGGGTTTGTCTGGCTGAAGCAGAAAAAGAGCTACACTCATAAGTTCCAAGATATTGGGAGGCTTGTAACATATGGCAAAGAAGTTACAGCCTATGTCGAAAAAAACAAGGTTAAGAAGCTCACTGGGGTCAAGGCCAAGGAGCTCTTGATTTGGCTCTCACTCTCCGATATCTATGTCGATCACCCACCGACCGGGAAGATCACGTTCAAGGCCACGACCGGGCTGTTTCGAACTTTCCCAGTGTCGGCTTTCGAGGTTGAAGAAGATGTCGTCAAGGATGTGGAAGTGAAGAACAATAATGAGAAGGAAGTGGTGAGTGTAGCAGCTGCAGCTATTGAAGTGAAGCAGATTTGAGCTTGTTGCTGGTTCTGTATGTTTGCTATATGTCTATCATTTTAACCTAAGCTCGTATGCGGAATGTAACTCTTAAAACGTTATCATTAAAATCATACATTTCAGAATAAACATAATTTCATTACGATAAAAACGCTGTTATAGTCTTACGTGTTCAAAATATTATTCAGAAATGAAATTAAAATTAATTTAAAACACGAAAGACATAATAACATATTCTAACCTAAGATTAGAAAATTAAACATGGTACTAGCCTAGCAAGTATCATGGTCTCTGATTGTAATGTCGTCGTCAACCGTACAGGGCCGTCTTGCCTTTACCTGAAAAAAGATGTTGCACCTAGCTTGAGTATTTCAAAGAATCCTTAGTAAGTGCCAATGCAAGCAATACACTTCGGTATTATTGTTATAACTACTCTAAAATTTTAAACACGTGTTTAAGTTGATATGTTACGATAAATACTAAGACTTTTTATTTATCATTGGAATTCAAACACCTACTCGACACTTTTGAATGTTCGGATATTAAATAGACACAAATTTCAAAAGTAAGAAAATTGAACGTATAATATATCCGAAAGAAATAGACTAAGATGAACAGTTTTTGAATATACAAGAGTCAAGATGAACATTTCAAACGTAAAACATAAAAACGGGTTGAAGTTAAATGTAAAGACTAAACACTAAAAGGGACGAGGTGTGAGTATAAGTTATTCATTAAGTGCGAGCCGATACTGTCCTGTTTAGGCTTTTCCCTTCGAGCTTCCCTTCAAAATTTTTAAAACGAGTCTACTTGGGAGAGGTTTCCACATTCATATAAAGAATGTTTCGTTCTCCTCTCTAACCAATGTGGGATCTCACAATCCACTCAATTCGGGGCCCAGCGTCCTTTTTGACACTTGTTCCCCTCTCCAATCGATGTGGGATCTCACAATCCACCTCCTTCAAGTTGTTATGGTGTAGTGGTTATCACGCTACACCATAGTCATCAGAAGTATAGGCAGTAACTAGCATTTCTTAACCATTATATCTAAATCGTTCTCATTCCGATGTGCACCACGTTCATTTTAGTATTATATAAGAATTTGTCTGTTAGTCCATTTAAGCCATTGAAATTCCCGTTTCTAAACCCTAATACTTAGACTATACAATTGTTAGCGTTAGAGTTGTTCCATAAACGTCAGTTTTAGCATAGTTCAACCGATAAGATTTTAATTATCATTTTAAACGTCGATAATTTGATTCTTTTACTCTCCAGACACTATTAAACTAACAAAATCTAATTTAAAACAAACTATTTATGGAAAATGGGAGGGAAATAAAGGGAAAGATTGTCCCATAAAACCAATGTTCATCCCCTTCACTTTGCCAAAATCTAATATGGCTTTTACAAGATGTTTTTTGTCTTCTCAAACGTGGCTTGCCTTCATCGTTGTCTTCCTTGTTGTTCAGTCAGCAATGGCTGACACTGAAACTGAGAACAAGATCAATAACTTGTGTCATGAAATGGAAGAATTCGGGTTTTGCAGCCAAACCTTCCATGAGAATCTGAACGGCCCGACAGACGACATAGGACTAACCCAAATAGCAATTGTCGAAGCTCAAGCCAATGCAAGCAATACACTTAGGTATGGTTGTTAAAAATACAAATAAACTACTTAAGTTGATAGGTTAAGATAATGCATACACTCTTAATAGGTATATTCAAGAGCTTCTTCCAACTATAATCGATCTTAAATTGAAGAACGACCTTATAATATGTGAAAATGCATACAAGACGGTGGATGAAGCACTTCAAGAAGGAATTGGCTTATTCTTGAAAAGGGATTATAGAGGCATGTTAATTGCCGTGAAGATTGCACCGAGAGCACAAGCAAGTTGCGACATGATTTTCAGTACACCATTAGAGAAACGAGGTCTACTAGAGGAGAGGAACAGAGAGGTACGGATTCTTGTTGCCATGGCTATAGTTTGTGGTTCCATCATTGTATCTTAATGACATAACTCTACCTCTCTCCAATCTCTTTTCTAATCTAAAATTAAAAAAACTTTGCAACTTTTTAGGGAAGGAGTGTAGTTTTTGAAAAATATTATTTGAAAGTTGCTTATGTATAACGGATCAAAGCAGACAATGTCTGTTAGTAGTGAATTGGGGCTGTTACAAATAGTATCAGACTAGACACAGGGTGTTGTGCCAATTAGGACGCTGGCCCCAAGGGAGTGGATTGTGAGATCACACAGAAGAGAACGAAACATTTTTATGAGAGTGTGAAAACCTTTCCTTAGTGAACACATTTTAAAACCGTGAGGGGCTGATGACGATATGTAACGGGCCAAAGCAAACAATATTTGCTAGCGAGTTAGTTATATTAGTTCAGCACCCGTGCAGATGGAGAGATTTGAATGTTTGACATTTTGGTCGATGATATATGACATAATTAATTGACTGTATTCACTTTTATTTATTGATATCCTTGACTGTTAAATTATACAAAAAAAAATATGCATGATTCATAATGGGAGCTATCCGACGAGTTTCAACAACTATAAATTTTTTTTTTCCCCAAAAAAGAAAGAAATAAGAAAAAAAAAAATATTGTCACTGACAACAAATGCCATTGGTCGGCAACGACGATAACTTTGTATAGAAGAAAGGAACTCGCCCTTTGTTTGAAAGAGATAATAGCGGTATGCTAAGCTGACGAAAATTGTTTGCTTGGTTTTTGGATCTTGTTCGACTTTCTTTTGACTTAACAACGATGATTCTCTTTCAGTCAACTTAAGTTTTATGTCTCGTGTAATTTACCTCTTCGGTGTGACGACACATGGGTTAACAAAACTGATGGCTGAGTCGTGATTTAGCTGTTGTCACAAGTCTTAATTCTTGATAGCTAAAAGGAATGAGATGACTGGCTACTTTTTAAAACAACCTTCTAAATTTGAAAAGACAAAGCAATTTTACATGCATGTAAATGAGGCTGTTTTTGTAAGAAAAAAACACTTTTTCCCTGTAATGTTCTTGAAGAAAAGAGTTACTTTTGACCTTACTTTTTCTTCCAAGCTCATTACTTAAACAGCTTGTTACCTTTCAAAGACCCAAATGGTCTGATCTTCTTCTGAGAAACCTGCAATGGGTTGCTCTCATGGCATCCCTGTTCTTCTTCTGGCAGTTTTTTACCTAGCCATTTTCCCTTCTCATGGAATCCTCCATGGAAATCTGGCCACCATTTGCTATAAAACCCCCAATCCGTTCAGCTGCCAGAGAATCCTTGGTAACGTTCCCGGTACCATCTCGGCTGACCTCCCTAAGCTCTCGCTTATATCCATCAATCTGACGAAGAACCAAGCCGATCAAAACCTTGATTCCTTCTCCAAATTAAGTAAGAATGAGAGTGATCCTGAGCTGAAGAAGAGTTTCAAGCATTGTGTGAAGTATTACCATGAAATTCAAGCACATATCCAGAAAGCCTTTAAGCTCTCACGGAAGAAGATTTTCAGAGATAATCATCCATTGGTAACATCAAAGAAACTTGTTAAAAGGTGTAATCAAGCCATCAGAATCAACTCATTGGATATTGAAGTCATGAACAAACGTATGATCCTAAGCTGTGATATTTCAATGAGTGTAAATCACTATGCTACTGCTAATGCCCACATTCAGTAAATCTTTGATAAAAGCGAGAGCTGATAATCTCTTTTGTAGTCAAGTTTGCCAGAAAAAGAATCATATCTGATTCCTAATGGAATAAAAATACCATGGGATAGTATTGTTTGCTCTGTCCCTTCTTGTTTTTATTATTTTGTTTTGAGTTTGCTTGATGAACAAGGTTTAAATATGTGAGACCCCAATCGGTTGGAGAGGAGAATGAAACATTCTTTATAAATGTGTGGAAACCTATCCCTAGCAGACACGTTTTAGAAACCTTACGAAAAGCCTGAAAGAGAAAGCCCAGAGATATGACAATATCTGCTTAAGTCCCCTTATAGAGAAACCAAAGAGGACCACATCTCCTAGCTCGGAATGAGTGTCAAAGAGGACCAAAGAGGGGAACGAGTGTCAGCGAGAACCCTGGACCCCAAAGGGAGGTGGATTTGAGATCCCACATCGATTGGAGAGGGGAACGAGTGCCCACGAGGACATTGGGCCCCGACGGAAAGTGGATTTGATATTCCACATCGATTGGAGAGGGGAACGAGTGCCAGCAAGGACGCTAGCCCTCAAAGGGAAGTGGAGTGTGAGATACTACATCGATTGAAGAGGGGAACGAGTGTCAGCGAGAACCCTGGACCCCAAAGGGAGGTGAATTGTGAGATTCTACATCGATTGAAGAGGAGAACGAGTGCGAGCGAGAACGTTGGACCCCGAATGGAGGTGGATTGTGAGATCCCACATCGATTGAGAGAGAGAAACGAAACATTGTTTATAAGGGTATGGAAACCGCTCCCTAACCAACACGTTTTAAAAACCTTGAGAGGAAGTCCGAAAGGGAAAGCCTAAAGAAGACAATACGGGACAATATCTACTAGCCGTGGGCTGTTACAACAAAATAACTTTGTAGTCGATTCTTCAACATATGTTATCTCTAGAGAAAGAAAAGAGATAAACTTGGAAAATTTAGCAGATGATATTGGCAACTTGGAAAATTTAGCAGATGATATTGGCCTGACCTTGATAGCAAATGACCAAGTTCTGAGAAATGCTTCCAATACCTATCAGTTCATAGTGCAACTTCAAGCCTGCATAATTGGTTGCAGTCAGGTCAGGCAGATGAAAACATGTCCCAACTACAGATGCATTCAGTGATGAAAATCATGAAATGGATGCATTCTTTTATCTAAACTGATCAAACGTTAATCATTCGGAAAATTGGATATAAAATTAACCATGATTATCCAGTGAACACAGAAAAGGACCATTCTATTTCCACCAAATATCAAACGAGTCACTATTCATGGAGTACATTTAGCAGGCAATGAGCCTTTCTTTCTTGAATTGTGGATGGTTAATACTGGCAAAATGAAGGATATCGAAAGCTCATCGACCAAGCAAAGCAACACGATCCTTTTGCACTGCCTGCACTAGGTTGATATCAAAGAGCTCACACCGAATAGGCATCTCCATCTCATAGAATGGATTCTTCAAGACATAATCTGTGTATAACTCATAAATGTACTTCAGAAGACCCTCCATGTGCAGTGTCCCAGGCTCACACACAACAAAAAACTTTGTTCCTATAACAGCCAAGTTCATCCATGATTCAGCTTCATAACTAAGAACTAGAAAATGAATATAACATGAAAGTTAAGGCATTATAATCTCAACAACTGTTGTGTTTGAAATCCCATATATTGTTGAGCTGAACTCAAGACAAGAAAGATACAACAGCCCAAGCCCACTGCTAGCTAATATTGTCCTTTTTAAGTTTTCCCTTTTGGGTTTCCTCTCACGGTTTTAAAACACGTCTACTAGGGAGAGGTTTCCACAACTTTATAAGAAATGTTTCGTTCCTCTCTCCAACTGATGTAGGATCTCACAATCCACCCCCCTTATAGGGACGGTTTCCACAACTTTATAAGAAATGTTTCGTTTCTCTCTCCAATTGATGTAGGATCTCACAATCCACCCCCTTGATAGGGACAAACGTCCTCGCTAGAGAGAGATTTCCTACTGCTAGCAGATATCATTTGAACAACTCAAGCCTACTGCTAGCAGATATTGTCTTCTTTGGACTTTCCTTTTCGGACTTCCCCTCAAGGTTTTAAAACATGTCTACTAGAGAGAGGTTTACACACCCTTATAAGGAATGATTCGTTCCCCTCTCTAACCGATGTAGGATTTCACAATCCACCTTCTTGGGGGCCAGCGTCCTTGCTGGCACATTACTCGGTAACAGTCCAAGTCCACCGCTAGCAGATATTGTCCTCTTTGGATTTTCTTTTTCGGGGTTCCCCTCAAGGTTTTAAATGTGTCTATTAGGGAGAGGTTTCCACACCTTTATAAGGAGTGTTTCGTTCCTCTCTCCAACCAATATAGGATCTCACAAAAGATCAATAAGGTTCCTAGAACTTCAATTGTGCTTTCACATTAGGAATTTGATTGCGTGTCTTCGGAACATAGTTTGAGACAGAATCCATTCGTTTAAAGCACAAATTAAACAAAGTAGTGGAAGAAAAAATGTACCAGTAAGTGACTGGAAGCAATGGAGATCGAATGTGTCGGCTTCAAGGAGTTCAGTACCCGAACAACCAGAAATAGGCGAAAGCTGCTGGGAAATGGCATGCATCGAATGCCATAAACTCGCCACTCTCAAGCTATCGTTCGTGTCCATTCGTCCAGCAGATCCATAATCCTAAATTTTCAAACAAGCCAACTAGAGATTCAATTCGAAGATTAAAATAATTCCACTCACAACCGGTTTATAATTCATAAGTAAGAGAAGGTCGATTGAAAATCTGATAAACAAACTGGAATCATGATTTGGGGTTCATATTTGTTTTTCGTTTCAGATACCAAATTAAGCATCAAAACTCCCAATCCAGATGGGAATTAGCAGAATCTAGTTTCTAATTGCATTAATAAGTAGTTTCCATTTGTTGATTACCTTGTAGAAGATCAAGCCACCAGATTTGTTGATGATGTAGAGGCTGTAAATTGCTGCCATCCTCTTCAGATCTTTCCGGGTTGAAACTTCTAAAGTCCTCTGAAAGAAATGGAATGAAAGCGATTGTCAGTGTAGATTCAAAGGCGCAAAATCCTGTTTCAATGATCGCCGATCATAAGCCAGTGGGGGGAGTTTCGGGAGCTCTTGAGACTGGATGGAAGAGAGGCCCATTTAAAACATTAAATTAATAATTAAACTAATTTTTATATAAATCAACCTTTTAAAAATTTGATAATACATAATTTCTCATTTATTTAAGATTTCTTTAAATTAATTTAATTTAGAGCGAAATATGATAATCTTTTTTCTTTTTTCTTTTTTTTGCTAATTACTAACAAAGAGTTAAGATTTTTTTTTTTATATCAAAAATTAATTTTATTTTTCAATTAAAATTTTTTTAAAAAAAATATTACGGAATTAACATTTTTTTAGTTAAGTTAACCCAATGAGAGTTACAACCCTGAATGCCCTAATTCGATTGTTGTTCTGCCCTAATTCGCTACAATGCGCTAATTCGATTGTGCGTTTTATTTTGCGTGGTTTTTTCACACGCATACAAAAAATATTTCTCGGCATTTGTTGTGGGGAATGGCCCCAGTTCAATCGTTGGGAATCAAATTTGCAACACCGTCGAGTATTCTTTTGCGTTCTCGGCATTGTTGTGGGGAATGCCCCAATTCAATGGTTGGGAACCGAATTTGCGACATCGTCGAGTTTTCTTTTGAGATTATTACAAAGATTGAGAATATTTAACATTTGTGACAAATGTTAATATGATATAGCTGACACTTATGAATATTAGATATCTGAACAACACGAGAATTTAGTTATTAACCTAACATGTGAATAAGTAATTTTTTTTTTTAAAATAATTAAAAAAAGAAAAAGAATAACCAACCCAAGATTTCGTTGCCAACCATTGAGGTTGGAACCCTGAGCAAACTGTGGTGATAAACCGGAGGAAGGTGAGGATGATGTCAAGTCATCATGCCCCTTATCTGGGTGACACATGCTACAATGGCCGGGACAAAGGGTCGTGATCCCATGAGGGTGAGCCAATTCCAAAAACCCACCCTCAGTTTGGATTGTAGGCTGCAACTCACCTGCATGAAGTCAGAATCAAGTTGATCCAAAAGATTTCCCCAACCAGACAAGCATTCATGGGGTAATTTCCACTGTTTATACCCGAACCTGGGGAATTCATCCATGACCATGATGAAGTTGTGAAGCAATAAAAGTACGAAGGTAAACCGGAAGGATAGATAGCAATCCAACGCTTTCTAGCCTTGCCCAGGTAGTTTATCTAATAGTAATGTAACAAAAACCATGCAAAAGTAAACACCCCATCCCCCCTGATAGACAACAGGAGCAGTCTTTATCTCAGAACTAGCACAATACGTGAAGAATGAAGACCGATCTCATCAGTGATCTAGCCAAAAACTACATTCATATATGCAGCTTGTTTGTGAGTGAGTGTACATGTAAGCCACAGTGTAGAAAGTTTCTCCAAATATAAACTCAAGGAAAAACTAAAGATACAGAGCAGCAACCATATAGCTTAGGGTTTTGTTATGTGCTGATGGCTTAATAATCAAATCAGCACAAGACCGTCCCTAAGCACGTCGATTTCAAACAAGCTAGTAACCATTAAAACTTTATCTTACCGGTTGTATTGTAGGAACAACTGCATAGCTACAAATAACTTGGAAGAATGTAACCGCCCAAGCTCACCGCTAGCAGACATTGTTCTCTTTGAGTTTTCTCTAACACATATTGTTCTCTTCGAATTTTTCCTTTCGGGTTTTCCCTCAAGATTTTTGAAACACGTCTACTAGGGAGAGGTTTCCACACCTTTATAAAAAAATGTTTCATTTCCCTCTCCAACCAACGTGGAATCTCACAATCCACCCCCTTTAGGGCTCAGCATCCTCGCTAGCACTAGTTCCACTCTAATCGATGTGGAATTTCACAATCCACACCCCTTCGAGGTCCAACGTCTTTGTTGCACTCATTCCCATCTCACAAAGAACTTGAACGACAAGATGGAAGAGTCTAATACAGGCAATGAATACTAATGGGTCTGTTATGAACAGAACCAGTTGGTCATAAATTGAAACAAGCAAGAGTTATGTGATTCTGATATCTGCCATATCATGAAAAACCTTAAAAGACATAGCTTATGTTTCTGTTGTGTGATGATCATGGTAAAATGATATGCAATATGGGACTGACAACCACAAAATTATCAATAGGCTTGAGATGTTTGATGAAAGATATATGCCATATCAGATAGTTTCACCTCACTTGATAGAGGGGAACTTGAAAGACACAATGGCGAGAGTGTAGCTTAGGCTTTTGTTATGTACCGATAGCAGTAAATTAATCGGCACAAGACCGTCCATAAGCACAATCCAAGAGCCAGATAATTAAAAATTAGTAATGTTTTGATTCAGAAATCTGCCATAACATGGATAGCTTTTCCTCAAAAAACTGAAGGGAAGCTTGAAAGACAGGACGGCAAGAATGTAGCTTATGTTCATGTTGTGTGCGTCAGATGGTAAAGTAATCAGCACAAGACCGTACATAAGCACACCAATACCAATAGCATAAATAGCAAAGAAGGTCATTTAGAAACCATTACATGTCTCCAAAAGATGCATCTTTTTACAAGAAATTTGAAACTGGTTCAAACCGATGTGGGATCTCACAATCACCCCGTACTCTTTCCCCTCTCCAATCGATATGGGATCTCACAATCAACCCCCTTTGGGGCCTAGCACCCTTGCTGACACACCGCTCGGTGTCCACCCCCTTCAGGACCCACAATCCTCAATAGCACACAGCCCAGTGTTGGCTCTATTACCACCGCCCTATGGGATCTCACAATCAACCCCCCTTCGGGACCAAGCGTCTTCGCTAACACACCGCCTGGTGTCTACCCCTTTCAAGGCCCACAATTCTCACTAGCACACAGCCCATTGTTTGGCTCTAATACCATCGCCCTATGGGATCTTACAACCAACCCCCCCTTCGGGGCCAAGCGTCCTCGCTGACACACCGCCTGGTGTTTGGCTCTAATACCACCGCCCTATGGGATCTCACAACCAACCCCCCTTCAGTGCCCAATGTCCTCGCTGACACACCGCCCAGTTTTTGGCTCTAATACCACCGTCCGGTGTCCATCCCCTTTAGGGCCCAACATCCTCACTGACACACCGCCCAGTGTAGGCTCTAATACCATTTTGTAACAACCTAAGCCCACCTCCAGTAGATATTGTTTCTTTGGGTTTTCCCTCTCTTTTAAAACGTGTTTGCTAAAGAGAGATTTCCACAACCCTATAAAAATGTTTCATTCTCCTCCCCAACCAACATGGGATCTCACATTTATTGTCTCTTCCGGTTGGGTGAGCCCCCTCAAAAATACCCAATGTGACCCAGCACCCCATTACAGAAAATACATGCATATACACACACCATTGCAATTGAAACAAGTGTATTGATAATCATGGAATCCTCTCATTATAGCTTATCAAACTATAGAAGAAAACAACTTCTCCCCCACCAAGTAAAGGAGACCAGCAAAGCTAAGCCCAAATTTTCAAGTAAAGTGAAATTTTACAAATGAAAAAGTAATTGACATTTGAAAGAAAGGAAAATCACAAACCAAGCACAACCTATTATCAATGTAATGAACAAATGATAGAAACATTCAGAGTTCACACAGAAGATCCGAATAAAAACAACAAAAATCGGAAATGATAACTATCACAAGTCGTAAGCAAAATGAACGAACAAAATTCAACGATTCAATCAAACAAACAGAGATGTTAATCGAAAACATGTGGTTTAGATCTAGCTAGAAATCGTGGAATGGACAAAAATCGGGGTAACCCCACCAGCCATATGGTAATGATTAACACAATGATCATACCCAAAACGAAACTTGTTGGATTAAACAATGCATAAAATAGGAATTCAAATCAAAGAAGGAATCAAAGAAACAGTGGTGACTGGAAATTGGCCATTACAGATGAGAAGAGCTGCGGCGCTAAGGATTATGCCGAGGGAGCAAGGTGATCATAGGGTTTAATTTATAAATCACTGTGTTTATAAGTAATTTGAAAAATATTTTCTCCAAAAATTAGGGCTTCCAAAAAACAATTAAATATACTGGAGGAAGCATCAATTCAATCAAACTGAAATTTCACAATACACAAGTTGGTTTCAGCGAGGATGTTGGACCTCCAAAAGAGATGAATTATGTGATCTCAAGTTCATTGGTCTCACGAAGCATTTCTTATAAGAGTGTGAAAACTTTTCTCTAGCAGACGCGTCTTAAAATCATAAAGCTGACCATGATACGTAACGAGCCAAAACGAACAATATCTACCAACAGTGGACATGGACGATTACAAATGCACATTTTATACCAATAATGAAATAATGTATGCTCCTCGAATGACCTTTTTTTTTTTGTCTAGAGTAATGCTCTAATACCAATGGATCCAAACCGATCAGCAACTTTTCTTCAGTAAACTATTTTACTACTCGCTTGTAGTTTTCGAATCTAACCCATTTAAGAAATCAAGCAATCGATTTCAGAATGATAATTAATGTCTTATTCACTCGACTACTGTTCATCGTATTCGTAAATTCCATATAAATTCTTCGAGAACGTATTGTACATAAGAATTAAATTTGCAAAAGAGAAACTTATACACAAACTTAAAATTCAAAAAAAAAAAAAATTAAAATCTTCCAAATCATTTCATTTTCTTTCCCTTTATTTGATGTTTATGATTTGCAATTCCACGTCATCTTTTTGACTCCCATTTGTTGCCTTTTCCACCTTCTCTTCCTCTTCTACTTTCATCTCTTTGGACTTTCCCCATAGCACTCCATATAGCCCAATGATTATCAAAATCGAGCCAAGAACACTGTTAAAAACGAACGATCACGAACGCACAAAACCCGATAAGTAAACAGTTTTATACGAAACAAAAAAGATCTCATAAGTTTGAATATACGAGAGTACGTGGAGTATTTGATAACGATTATAACAGTTCTATACGAAATAGAAAAGGTGTCAAAAGTTTGAATATACGAGAGTGGCATGGATACGCACGTTCCGACGTAGAGCTGTTCGTGGAGGAGAGCCCAGCTAAAGA